GTTATATAAAAAATAATACATCAAGAGACGACCATCCCACATGGTCGTCTCTCACCTTCAAATTAAAAAAAAAAATTACGTGACGCCTGCGTGGCACCACATCTAAATGGTCGTCTCTCGACCAACCTTCAGTTTTTTAAACAACTATATTTTTAAAATAAGTTTCATTTTACAACAACATTAAAAAAAAAACCCACTGTGTCGTACAAATATTTCAATTTTCATTTCCCCTCACCCTCTAATTTAATATCTTATATCTGCAGTACTCGTTAATTTTCGAATATAGAATTAGAATATTTATTTAGTATTAACCAATGCATTCTTACGTAAATGTAAAATATAGACCCTAAGATTGAAGGATGATGAAGAAGAAGGAAGAAAAAACCGAAGTTGACCCAATCCGACCTTTTTGCTCACCCACTACGTTTTTTTTTTAGTTTTTCCCCCGCCCGGTCGAGCTGTCTGAGGTCGATGGTGCATCCGGTAAGCTCTTTCGGTATTCATCTCCAGAGCCCRGTCAGATGCTTCAATCCTTCATTCATATTCCGTCTCCTTCCTTTTTTCATGTCTATATTGCGAGTTTACAGCTCAAATCTTTTACTAGTCTTCCCCTCACATGTTAGAAAAGGGCGGTCTCCCCTAGACCTTATTCCGTCCAAGCTCTCATAGCATTCGTCTTTCTTCCTTCTCTGCTGCACATCTGTATTCTGCTTTATAGARATCTTGGCTTTATGGTTTTTTGTTTGGTCAGGAGTAAAAATCAAACACCTTTGAGTCGGTTCGAGTTAATTCACAAATCGAACCGACCTAGCTTGATTACACCCTACTTTTAACGGTGCCCAATATGTCCTTAATTTTTAAAAGGTGCATAATCAGTTCAATTTTATATTTAATAAAATTTAAACTTCCAATTTTGAATAATAGCTGTCGGTAATTTTTAATAGTATCTATGAGACTATTAAATAGAATCGTATTAAAAGCAAAATTTAATTTTATGCTTTAACCGATTTCTTAATTTAAAAAAAAAAGTCAAATAAGTTGGGAATTAAAAATTCAGAAATATAAGATTTAAAGATATTTGGAACAATTTTAAAGTTCAGTGACGATTTTTTATTTTTATTTTTTTGTTGAGCTGTGCAGGGGAGAGTTAATCTCAACCAATTTTCTCAGACAAACCCTATTTCATCAGCATACTTGAGTTGAGTTCGCCGATTTTCTCCGGGAATCTCATCTCAGAATCAGAACCAGGTATGCCATTGCAATTTATTGTTTTCATGAACTTTTTCGCCGATTTTCTCCGAGAATCTCATCTCAGAATCAGAATCAGGTCGCGAACAATGAGTAAAACTGGAACTGGAAGTTTTCATGAACTTTATTGTTTTCCTTTTTACAATTTGAGGATAGAAATCTCCGATTGAGCAGGAGGTCTCTATATAATAGGATTAATTCTTTTGATCAAGTCATCAGAAAGCTCGCAAGTTTTAATTATGGGCAAACCGGTCTCTCGGTAAGAATGCAAGCTATTGGTTCTCTTTTGTTAGGCCTATTTTCTTATTTTTTCTTTATCAATCCTAATTTTTCTTTTAAACTTTTGTTTGATGAAGGTCGGATTCGAAATCTAAAGCCGAACGAAAATTTCAAAAGAAGGTCCAGTTTTATGAGAGTGAGTTTGAACTCTGACAGAAACTTGATCGTGCTTGCTCTATAAATTTCTTCGCAGCCTTTGTTACTTCTGATATTATTGACATTATCTCTGATAGAGGTTAGAAGAAAAAACCTCAGGTGACATTGTAAAGAAACGTTGTTTGAATAAAAAAGATGCATAGATAAACAAATTACAAAGCATCAAGTTATTAAGTAGGTTTGGTAACACTTCTCCAAATAATTTGATAGCATTCGGCTAATATTATGCAAATTGCATGATACATAATTGGCCACCAATTTCACTTCAGTTGTCACCCCCACAAATTGTTGAGCATATTTACGAAGTCCGCATCAATTTGTTTCCCCTAGATTTTTGATTCCCAAATATCTGAAAGTTCATTTTTCAGAATAGCAAGTTGAGTTTATATTTTAATGTCATTTATTTATGTAGGATTTTCAATTTAACTCGGGATGTTTGTTTGATTTTTGAGAGTTGTTTGTGGTATCATGGACATTAAAATCTGACTATATGCAGGAGTTGGAGAAACCGTTACTGCCTTGAATGCTCAAAAAACCATTAGTAAGGTAAAATTCTTCATTCGATTACTTTGCATTTACAGTTTTGATATAGCATTATATTTCTGTATTAGTTATAGATATTCAGTTTTGTTATTATTTCTTTTCCATGGGGAGTATCTTGGAATTAATTGAACCCTGGGTTGGTCAGTGGTCATTAAGGCTGGCGAAAAAGTGGAAGATAGGCAATAGGTCCAAATCACCTCCTAGGATTTAATTTTTTACAAGTTTTCTTGGTAACTAAATAGGATTAGACAGTCATCCGTGGGATTAGTTGAGATGGCACATGCACCCTTGAATATGGAAAAGAAAAATCTTGCAATGTATTGCAGCTTATAATGGTAATTACATGTTCTTTAAGAGCTTTTTGATGGTTGTTATTGAAATTCCATTTCTGTTTTGTGGGTAATGCTTGAAAAATTTTCTTATTTATCTTTTTCCTTTTGAACTGTTTGTGGTCATAATTTTCTTGAAATCTCAACCCCATGTGTAAGGCACCTGGTAAAAGCACAATAAGAGACCTTAGATTCAGCAAATAGATCATGTGGTGCCACTTACCTATCTCAAAATTATCCCAAGTTTTCTTATAACCAATGTTACAAGGTTTAGCAGTCATGGAAACATACGAACAAAGTTACAAGGATATGGGGTGTACTAATGGAAAAGCGTTGAATTTTGTCGTAAACAATGAAGAAATTGCATTGTTAGAATCTTTAATCTCTCTACTGTACTTTTAGCATTATGCTAAAGTTGAATATATATGTTTAGCAGAACTCAAAAAAGCGAAGTCGAAAAAAGCAGTTGAAAGCTTTCGATCTGACCACTCTGTCAGAGTTTCTTCCTGGATTGGAGGCTCCTAAACAAAAATCTTCTGCAGCCGAGTTAAAAGTAAATTGCAAGTCCAGGCTAAAGTTTATGTAAGTTACTTGTTACTATTGTTTGACATGTTCTATATTTGACATTACTTGTGTCTTGTAATGCTCTGGGGTATTTTAATCAGATTGAAGGAAAGAAAGCAGATGGGTACAGTTCTTAATCACCCTGCATTCCAGGCAGATCCCTTGAAAGCTATTCATCTACATTTGGAGAGCACACAGCCAGTTGAGGAACCAAAGAAAAAAAATACGAACAAAAATGGGAGCAAGAAGAGGAAAGAGAAAAAGTTGAAGGCTTCTGCAGGACCTCAACAAATGTGTGTTGGTCTTTTTGGTCTTAGTCTTGATTAATTAATTAATGTTTTGTTTTGATGATAACAAACACATTTAGTGTAACGGTTTTGAATCTCCTAAGTTGGAGTTAAAATGAAAAAAAGTTATTGAGAAAACAGAAAACATCTTATTTTGAATTTACTTTGTATTCAATGTGCTAGTTTTATGTTTTTGTATTTTGAATTTACTTTTATCAACAGTTGAGATTTCATGTTCACATAGCTTATCTGATTAAGATTAAGATGTATACCTTCCGTTAAAAGATGTATATTTCTATTAAAAGGTTGACAATTCTGAAAGTTCAAAACTCTTCCTTCGATGTTAAATTTAATAAAATCTAATGGCTGTAAATATGTATGTGTTCTTACTCATCAAACCGATAAGATCAAATTAAAGTTTTCATTAGATCGGCTGTCAATTAGACATGCGGCGGAACAATTTTGAACTTTTAGAAATTAAAATGAAAATTCAGCCAATGGTTGGATTTTGGTTTGCTAGTGTACATACAAACCTCCCATTTTTAGTAATATTGAGGTTGATGTTGTTATTCCGGTTCTTAATTCTCTCCCAAGCGAACAAGCTTTCTTGCATGTTGAGCAAAAGCTGGAATTAAGAGTGTTCAATCAAACCGACAATCCAAACAATCTAACCCAAACCGTTAACAATCCAAACAATCTAACCCAAACCGTTAGGGTTGGATAATAAAAGTTTGGTTTGAGATGGCTTACTCATGAAACGGAACATGGCTTTCTTGCATGTCACCACACAATTTGTTCTTGCTTATCTAATATAATGAGTTGGAAAGCTCCGAGGGCAACGGCAGCAGTGTGGTTCCACGTCGCTATACTTAAGCCCTTATCAACTAAAAAATTTCACTTTGAAAAAGAAATGGTTCATTTCAGTAATATACGATACAGCGTAAGACATAGACCAACCATTTCTTGTAAACAAAAATGATCTCAAAATCAAGTTTTCAATGCACCTGTGACGGAATTTGACTCTCATCCAATTGTTTAAAGATGCCTGTAAGGCTGTAACAGGTTGCATCATGCTCACAACAATGTAATAAAGACCAAAAAATAAATTTCTTTCATATAAAATTATCAATAATAGAAGAAACAAAACTATATCGGTAGATCAAAATCTATCTAACTTCTTAATCTCACGATATCATTCATTTCTCGCAGGCTATAGGAACAATGGTGATTCTTCCCTTCATCACAATGCATTTCTGTCTTTTAAAACAATTGACCGAATCACGCCTCGTCTCCGACGCCTCCATCTTCACGTCCACCATAAGTTAGAGCGAGAGAGATCTGCAAATCTAGGACAATCTACGACGATTTTCAATATAAACAGATTAATTCGGTATAAGGAAACTTTACTTCGCGACTGAATTTGTTGAAGCAGGCGGATGCATCATTTAAGTCTAACTTGGAGGATGAGATGCACTTGTTTCTTGAAGATAGACCGTAGCTCTTCATTTGCTTCGATTCCTATTCTCCTGAAATTGTTAACAAGTTTTGCATTCGATGATTAGACGGTATGGTCAACAACTAAAACTAGCATGGTTGGAATTGAATAGTTAATCATCGTATCCATGCATGAATATGATACTAAAGGTATGGTCACATTTGGATAGCTTCGGTCTGTATTTTCTATGGGAAGAATCTTTTGAAAACTGATGGAGGAACTAGGAAGTTACTTATATGTACGATTTATAAGGAAAAAAAAATCATTAAAATCATATAACTTTACCCAATTTTAGATCCATTTTTCCCCACAAGAATTTTGCGTTGACTTGGTTTGTTGGTGATCAAGTGTTGCTCAATCCTAAGAGAACCGTCTCGAAATTCTTTCCAGTCAACCAACCGATGTTCAATCCCATAAGGAATTTCCTGAAATAGAAGCAAAGTTGATTGGTCACAATGAATATCTTAGCCAACCCAACAAAAAAAACTGAGCTCTACCTGATGCACATGGTCTAACAACCGTTCCCGGACAACTTCAAGAGAGATGTTCTTCATCATTTCTTCATTCAAAGTACATGGATCTTCATCCCAAGCTCTTTTGACTGCCTAAAAAGGGAGGGGAAGGTGAGCCCAGGTTTAGATGCAGAGTTTAAGCTGAATGAACATAATAAGTGGCTGATGGCTGAGTGATGACAGTAAAAAATAACTTCAGCATCATCATCAAAATTGTGAAAACCTCATATGCCTGTAATCAAGGTGCCTTAAATACGAAAGTGAAAATTGAATAATATAAATTAATTCGTTTCATACAAATATAAGTTCAAAAAAATATACATTACTTTGACTAACAGCAGTTAAACAGAATAGGAAACATGCCTGATCCATTAAATATTTTGAAAGATCTTTTACTCCAGCCCCCTTTAGCCCCGAGATCATGAAGTACCTATAAACAGTTTGTTCTGTAAGTGAAAAGGAAAGCTGCAGAACCCTTAAGTGAGTCAATTCTTTGAAAGCTAGAACAAATCTTACCTTTCATATCCAGGAAGATCTTTGAATTGATCAGCAACTGTTAACAAGTCTTTCTTGTTCTCGATTAAATCAACCTTGTTCATACATAATATTCGCTTCTGTTTTGGGTGTGACGATGCTCCCATTCGTTTGATCAATCCTGTCACCCTCGAATCAGGCCTAGACAAAATGCAAGAGTCAATGGCTAAATCATCTGGCTACAATCAACTTGAAGTAGGAAAAAGAAGACAAAATGTACTATCATTACCAAGGAGTTGGTTATAAAACATACCGAATAGAAGTAGAATGAAGATTTGAGATAAAGTGCTCCAAAGATAATAACTAACTAAGAAAACCTATAGGTTAAAGCATTCATTCTTAAAGAAAACTTGAAGGTATAAAGCATTTAATCTTCAATACCTGAACATCACTAGTTTCGGTTCTAAGGGGAAGAGGAAATCCAATTTAACATGATCTGGGACTGGTTTTGGTTCAAGAGGAGGGGAATTGCAGGGTCCCAAATGTTTCGAGGAAAATAAGCAATACTTTTAGTCAAATTCGAAAATTTCTAAATTATTAGGAAAAACTAGGAAAATTTTGCAAAGCCTATGAATATCTAGTCTCTTATTTGACAAATCTATTTTTTATAACATTTGATAGTAAAAGGAATTGCCACTAACCTTGTAAGATGTCTATGGACGTCAAAAATAACTATCGACACGTCATAAAGTTCAACTGAACTCCAAGCGCTTTGCACACGAGCTTTCATATCTTTATAAGGAAGTCCCTTACTCTTTAACATGAGCCCTGGTGTGTCGAAGAAACACTGAATTGGCATAATACATTAGGAAAACTCCTATTTAACTATTTCTGTAGGCTGTAGTAATAAGAAGATAAAGAACAGAGACAGATTTCGTCACAAAAAAGCTCAAAGGCAAAGGAAATCTGTCACTACTATTGAAGAAACAAATGCTATTTTCTTATCCAAAAAAGAACAAACAAATGTTATTTGAGGAAGAAATTATGAAATGTTACAAAGTTCTTAAATATTTAAGATGCATGAGTCATGACATTAAATTTGACACAGTTTTCTCTTTGATATCAACTGATTTCGTTTTGAAACAAGCCATTATCTGAAAATTTTTAAATCAGCACCTTCAATAATCTATGGTTTAATCAAGAAATCTCTGAAAAATTTTGTAATCCTATTAAAGTTACTTGAATTCAGACGTAACATCACTACTTTAAATCTCTGAAAGATGACAGTGCTATAACTCATTATGCAATGTAGATAGTTCATACAGATAAATGTATTCTATTTGGAAAAGAGGAATTACATAAACTTATTAGAAAATGAACAAAAGTTTGAGAAAGTAGATAGGCTACCCTCCATTCCAAAAGCAAAGGAGACTAAAAATTCCCAATGGACATCAATAAGAAAAATACCGATATCTATAAAAGAGTTTAGACAAATAATTCCATCTACAAGCTCAAAGTAAATAGTGGCAATATATCTTATGATTAATTGTTTTAAGAAAAACAAAAATATGATACATACAATTTGGGTGTTTCCCTTGGTCATTATTCCTAGGACTTCATGAGTAGTGGTATTTGTCTTCCGTGAAACTGCAGCAACTTTTGTTCCCACCTGCATAACAAACATAATGGAATTATTCCTTCTTCCAATCTCTTATATGATAAGTATAACTAATACTATCTGATTGCTCCCACATGACCACCCTTGTATTAAGAAAAGATAAAATTGAAGAGATGAAGAATTTCTTATTAGAGTATAAGGATAGAAAATGGAAAAGACAGTTCTGCATGCAAGGGAATGCACAACAACCGATTTAGTATACAAAGCTATAAAGAAAGAATAACAACCCTAAAACTCTCTTTTTTCAAAACACAAGACAAAGTTTCTCATTCATTGTTGAAAAACTGCAATATGTGTATCACAAATAGCAAATAGTAGATTAAGAAAAGGTCTGCAATTAGAATAATTACAAAAAGCTTCTGGATTTGCACAGTAAGACGCCACTTGGAATATAATTCAGTCCAATATATCCACCAAACTAGAAGACTTATCTCCAAACAATCTTTGATTTCTTTCTACTCATATACCCCACTGCTTTAATCAGATTAATCCATCTTCTAATTAATCAATACCCTCCAAAAAGCTGAATGAAGTTATTCTTAACCTTCGCATCAAATACCCAAGAAGTTCTAAATGTATGCATCACAGAATCCCACATTACTGCTAAATCAGCAATGGGAAAGAGAAAAAAAATGCATGGTCGTTATCTTCACCTGCCTTGGAGCAAAGGACACACATACTTGGATAAGTAAACCAAAGCGGGCATCTTTTTCTGAATGATAAGATCTTGAGCTTAACAATCCATTCATGAAGTGAAGGTAGCAGAAAAGTAAATGCATTACAAACTATTAATTTGACGATCAATTATAAATTCCAGTTCTTTGCCATCACCTGGTCTAAAAATGTTGGATGCCACCAATGACCCAAATAGCTAACAGAAATCCCAACTTAACTACCATGAAAAAGTTTAGACTTCCAAACATCTTGCAACAAACGAATTTATACCGAATTGGCAGCTTTAGTGTTAGTTTAGGATCATATTAAAAAAAAAAAAAATATATATATATATATATATATATATAATCTATCTCTTAAGCCACCATAAGTTTAAAAAATCATATAAGAAATGCACTGATCATAAAAGTTCCATCAGTTGGTCACTCCAAGGAGTGAAAGCTAAAGACGAACCATATAATTAGTCAATGCGGACTTGCCGGCGTTTGGTGCACCAATTATCCCAACTGCTAGAGACTTCTGGTCCTCCTCCTTCACTGTTATATCCTCGTCTTCTTCCTCATCGTCAGCAGTTTGCAACGCCGCCTCAAGCAGAGCCTTGGCAAGCACTCTCCGTCTCCTTTCCTCCTCCTCCTCCATAATCTTGTATTTTAGCCCCTCGGATTCTTTCCCAAATACAAGTTGGTCGGCCTTCGCCCTATACTTCATATCCCAAGAGGGTTCTGCAGGGGACTGAGGCTCAGTTTTAGTATATGAATCCATGTTTGGAATGGTGAAGTGCGCGCTGTAAAATACGGAATCTGAGGCATTTTCAGAGTCGGAGAAGGTAGGGTTGGGATTCAAATCGTGTTGCTCGGGTTGGGCGGAGTAACATCCATGGGAAAAAATTGGATTTAGGAGAAAAGACTGGTGGGTTCGTGCAGGAATCGTGGAGACAAGTCGAAGAACTCTGAAAGCTTTCATATCAAATTCTCATGTAAAGCATAAGAAGGAAGAGGAGTGTAGCGGCAGGAACAAGAATCGAAGGCTGAAAGCAGCAGATTTGATTTGGCTCTGCTGGGGGAAGACGGGTTTTTGGGGTTTACAACCTTCAGTGGTGGTGTAGCAGAACGGTGGTTTAGTCACATTTTTTTATTTTTTATTTTAAGAATGAGTAGTTTTTAGGAACTAAAAAAGGAAAAAAATATCTACAAAATACTTTTCCTAACTTTTAAATGTTTGTTTGAATGGAAAAAAAAATGTTTGAATTTTGAAATATATTCTTAGCCTAATTTTATTTAGGAAAATAATTAATAAAATTTTCCGAGTATCCAACCGTTGGACTCAAAATAATAATAATTATTATAATAAATTAATAAAAAAAATGATATGGTACATTGTGTTAGTTTTCAAATTTAAAGAAAAACCTCTTTTTTTTTCATGAAAAATTTGCACTAATGGTTTGCATTTTTTCTTTTTTTTCCAAGCACATCATCATGCTGTAAAAATGATTTCGAGCGAAATAAAAAATCATACTCTTTAATTCAATTTTACTGACTTTGGAATTGGTACACAACTTACTCTAAAGTTTTAGTTTAACCAAGTAGTTCCATCAAAGTATTTAGTCCAAATTTTAAAATTAAGAACAAAGTGAAGGAAGGACATTGGAAAGTTGGCCAAATTGAGATGTCTTTGCAACAATGATGCTCAACATATAGACATTGTTCGGTACACAAGTCTCAATTTTCTTTTTGCTGTAGTTTCAGTTATTATACACATATATATATATATTCTTTATTTAAACTTTTCATGCAATATAATTTAGTGTCGATTTCGTGCTCTCTTAAATTGCTTTATTTACTAACAGCATAGGAAATGCAAATCATGTTTAAATGAAGAACAACAGGGGAGAGAGATGACAACCAGCAAAAAATTGGAAGGAAGCTGCAAATCTTTCTCTAAATTAAATCTCTAGGTTGGGTATCTTCTGAAAGAGGGTTTACAAATTGATACAAAGAGGAGGAGAAGAAACGAAAATGAAGGAAAAAACACCCTTTCTCTTTTAAATCGCCTACATAAATAGGAAAAATGAAAACTCTGTTCTGTCCTACCAATTTCTCGCAATGAATTCAATGTAGATGTTTTAAGTTGCTCGGTTTGTTAGACACCCTAAAAATATGTTCTCAACATTGCCAGGTGACTTACAAATTTCCACAGCTTCTTCTGAAACCTACTGCAACACAACGCTTATGGAGCTTCATGAAACCATCGTCGACGTCGCTTGAACTAAAATGGCATTCGGCCAGCAAGCCTGCTTTCCAAGATTCGTTTGTCGATGGCTGCATCGATTGAACTCATCTGAAACAAGAATACAATATGAATGATCAGAGCAAAACTATATGGAAGTGATGCCATCGCCAGATCATATGGTTGAGTCCTATGCAAGAGGTGCCAAACTTTGCAAAAGAGGCTGACCTGGTCAAAGTCGAATTCACTGATCGATCATAAAATAAATTGTAATGATGCTACGAATGAGCAAAAATCTGTAGGGTATAATCTTGTTCCACCCAAATCCCCACACTTTGGCATCAAGCATAGGGAGAGTGAATCGCATATAATAGATTGAAAAGCCAATAGGAAGAACTGAATACACTACGCTCTTAACCACATTTTATGCCATAAGGATAGAACCTTCTGGCAGCAAGATTTGGAAAGTTTTTATATACACACACACCATAAGTGGGGTAACATAAATACCTACTTGAGCCTTTTGATGCCCACAAGATTGGTGGTTTGGCGTGCAAACTGGAAAATGTCAGTTGGAAAAAAAAACAGCATTTACATTTGATTATGAAGTTCGAAGTAAAATATGAGTTCAGGCTCAAGGTTCTAAGAAAAATAAATTATATAAATTGGATTTATACATATCCCTACATTGGGAAATATATACTAAAAAGAATCCAAAAACAGAAACATGTATCGCCTACCCCCACATGGTTAGATTTGAAAACCAACTCCAAATATATAAGTTGCAGTATAACTTACCTGGCTAGTTTCATCATGCACCTGATACTTAGTTAAGGACATTCTTCTTTCCTCCTGCACATGTATACCAAGAAAATGAAACTAGGTCGGAAATATCGAGATATATCATATTAAACCAGCACACAAGAACTTACCATAGACATCGCCTCATCATCCCAAACCAAATATACTTCATTTGTTGATGGCTGAGTAGGAGCTTTATTCGCAATTACAGGAGGTGGTCCAATAGAAGGACCGCCTGTATTTGGTCCCGATGCATAAGAGTGTGAATTACTTAATATTCCACCTATAGCATTAAATGCAGTTAAGTCACCCTGTTAAGTAATTAAACGAAATCAAAGCCTACACTACAAGACAGAGACAATATCAACTGCTATAACTAAATGAGTTGGGCAGGGACGCATCAATATCAAATTTTAATAACTTGTAATTCAGATAATAAGTCTTCTAGAAACTTGCAAAGATTTGAATCTCTAATTCCAAAAGGAGAAAAAAAGGAAAAACTATTTCCATAAAATGCTGTATGTTCTTTGGACCATTTCGTTTTTCTTTTGAGTAATTAGGGCAATATGCAGAAAGTCATGCACAACTTGAAGGCTCGGTCAGATGATGGCTCTACTGACTTTCTAGTAATGCAAGAGTTCGTAATTGAAACTACATTAAGAAAAATGCATAGATTATGGTTCTTATTGAAATGTAAAATTGAAACTAATTTTAATAGTGGATAACCCTTAACAAAGTAGGTAACTGATACCAAAATCATCAACGAACATTAATATTTCAAACACAATCATCAAAAAGTTCTCAAAAGTACTACCATCATTTTCATTTTGTCTTCATTGAAGGCATTGGGAGAAAATCTAACTGGATAAAACCTTGTGAAAACTCATATCGAAGGGACTGTAAAAAGTAATTAGTTGAACCTGGAATGTTTGGAACTTGATTTCCAATTGTAGAAAAAGAGTTAGTGCCTAGATGTGCACTCACTGAGCCTTTGATTTCTGCTGCAGAGGTCAAAGGAATGCTTGTTGGAAGTGTAGATGGAGAAAATGGCGAGCTTTGCATAGCTCCGTGGCTATTACCAACAACAGGGAACAGCGGTTGAGATACAGAAACTGAAGGTGCAGTTGAAGGCAATCCAGGAGGCGTTATTTGCGAATGCTGGAGCATAGGAGTTGATGATACTGGGAGTGGGGGCCTCACAGTCTGCACAGGAAATAGTGGCTGCTGAGCATAACCCAATGGGGCAGGTGGAGGAATTGAAACTGCTGAGTTTGGAGGGAACCAAGGTTGTGGACGAGGTGGAACTGGCCAGGCAGCAGGCAGCGCCTGTCCGGTAGAAGCATAACTGCAGTAACATGATAATCGATGAAAGTTAACAATGTTTGATCATTTTATAGTTTACTTAAGATAACACAAATAATTGTAAAAACTTCAAGTTAGGCTAGTGAATGGAAGACAAAAGGACAGGCAAAAACTTACATTGGTTGCATTGCAGCTAAACCTGGTTGAGGAGGATATACAATACCCAGCGATCCAGGCACCACACCTCCAACCATCTGAGTCGATGGCATCTCCACTTTAGCCACCTTCGATGCAGCCTCTTCCTCTACAAGAAAAACATTTCCATAACTCTATGGTTATACCGCTCTACAAAACATTCTTTCATAAGAAGGAACAGACAAGATGTCATTCATCATAAAGCATACTAAAGGCTTGGGGTGGGTGAAAAAGAAGTCAGCTCCATCCAATATACAAGAGAAAAGTTCAGAGCTCCCCTCTAGTAATTTCAAATCATCTGTTTCTCATAATTTTTGTTTTTATAAAAAGAAAAAAAAAACGTTGTTTGTACTACCACCTTTGTGTATTCTTTAATTTTTCTCGATGAAAGTTGGCTATATATATATATATATTATATCACCCTTCAACCATACAATCCTTTATTAACATTCTCCCCATGGAATTCTATTAATACCTTCCTCATTGCTCTTCACTCTCCCTTGTCCAAACTCCAAACTTACAAGAACATGCTCCTCTTGACCTCGTTATGAGATAGAGTTGTCATCTTAATAAACCATCCATATTGATTTGATACTCTCTGGAACCAACAAGTCCCATCATCAAACCTTGCATTTCTGAAGAACTTCAAACCCAGAGCATACAATAACATCCTTAGCACCTTGAACTGTACATATCATGTAGTTTGAGGAATTTCACACGTGAAAATTAAAATAGTCAACTAGTCTGAAGGTTCTCTGACTAAATATAGATGCAGGTTCCTTCCACTAACCTCCCTCCTTGAAAGAAATTATAAATACCTCTCCACAAATAAACTCAAAGTCACAGACTGATCTGTTAAAACCTTAATAAAAAGTTCTGTGTAAAACATATATCTCCTACTTTAATGTGACCTAACTGAAAATGGGAAATTTATTTCATGCTTGATCAAAATAAATTCTCCAGAGTAGACAAACTCCCATTTTACCACATTAAATTATTATTACACATATGACGTTAAGAGATATTTACAAACAATAATTCAGTTATGTTATAAAATTAATCTCAAGCTCAACTACTATTTGAAGATAAAATAACACTACCAACCATGTTATAGTTAACTTAAAAAACAAGAAAGATAATGGTAACCTTCTATTCAGATCAGTTTTTGGAAGAAAAAGACAAAGTTCATTTAAATAAATAAATAAAAAGACAGAGTTCATTACTTAAATTTCATCCATACAGTTTCTCAAAATGATAACTATTAGTCCATTAAACTTAGGTGCCATTTAGCTCGAGGTATTTTAGGATCTCCATGGAAATGTTGCAAAATGCGAGAAGTTTATGTTAATTTTATAAGATTTGCCCTTAATATTTAACAAACAGTATATAAACATAAACATCATACACACGTACAAATACAACCAAAAAAAAAACTATAAGATGCCATATTTAGCCAGGAACCCTCAAAAGAAAGAGCACAGGGAGAAAAAACTCAGTGAGATATTGTGTGTGGGGGGAACTGAGAGCGTTCTCAAATCTCTTAAATTTTCAAAGCCGCAAGACACGATTACAGAAATCTACCAAGTGGGGCAACCACACCCACCAAAAAGAAACTTTGACCAAGGGGGATTTACCAAATTCACACCTCAGTTTGGAAAATTAAAAAATACCTACTTATTTAAAAGAGTAATCCTTGCCCTAACACAAAAATAGAAAACCCATATCTTCTTGTATGTCTATTTAAATGTATGTATAAATGTATGCATGAGAAAAACAGAGAGGAAGAGGAAAAAAAGTAAGAGATAATAGGTGTAGGAAGAAATAAAATAACGCATGGAAGAATTATAAAGATTTCTCACCACCTTCTCCGTAGTGTGCTGCCAAGACATCAGGTGGAATCCCTTGCATTCCATATATCTCAATATCTGTTGATTCTCGGCCGGGTTTTGCATTAGGAACTCTAGTCACAAGATTGCCACCACAACAGAAAAAAATTAGCATATAAATATGACCAAAACAAAAATACCAGTTCAGAAACAAACCAATAAACATGCATTTGATCTTAGACAAATCAAAAGCCCTATTGAGAGGCAAGTCTATCTAGCCTCTCAGGTCACTGCAAGCTATGTATCTACATAGGCCTCCTGTAGATTTTTTAAGATCTAGTGGACCTCGACACCCATATTCTATAGTTCAAAAATCTTCTGCTTACAAAACTATATCAATATAACAAAATACCAGAATGCAAAATTTCAAAACCATATTTGAACACTACCTACATATCGTAGCTAATACTCATTAAGAATTTTAGCAAACTCATCGCAATTGATTGGTATGCATATCCCCTTAAACAATAGCACATTTTTATCAACAACAAAAAATATATATTAACTTGAAAAAAAAGCATTACCCTCTGGATACGAAATCTCATGCACATTCCAGAATCCTTTATCTATCTCAAAACATTAATAAGGGGCTAGAACAAAAATTTAACTGTAGTAGGGTGTCACTATTGAAATGGATAAAGTATACCTTACAACCTACTTTTAAAGAAGATAGAAATCATAACATTCTTATGTAGAACCTAGCAGTACGTCCAGAATCTATCCCGTGAATGAAAATTAGCATTGTAATCCATAAAAATAATTGGAAATTCTTTTTTGAGTTCATCAATAATGGGTGGGGTGGGGTTTGAACCTTTGACCTCACGGGAGGTTACTTTATGGCTTAACCAGTTTGTGCTCAAAGTTGGAAATTACTCGAAATCATTAATAATTGAAAAAAACTCGGAAACAGCAATATTATGTCTCGAATAAATTTTCTTAATAAGATGGGAACCCTGATAGCTCCACAATAAACACGGGCAAAATTCAGTCAAGCTCTTCCAGCTATCACCGTTCAGTCAACGCCAGGAACTTAAAGAATTTCATGAGCACATCAGGAGAAATTTCCATCATATCCTATATACTACTATATTCGTATATGCTTTCCTGTTTGAATTTACAATCCAGCACGAGGAGATCTAGGGAAGGAAGAAAACAGAAATCTACCAAATTAACTCCTACGACAGCGAGCAGTCAGTAACAAAGAACACCAATGAAAGAATTCTCTTGCGATTGGAATGAAATACAGCGCTGTACAAAAATTTAATCTTTCGAACACGTTGAGAAAGATAAGTTTATGTATAGACCTGTGTAGTCGTAAAATAAGTGGCTTAAGCAGAGCAGAAGATGCAGACAAAGATGAGAACAAAACAGTCAAAATAAAGTAGATTATAGAGTTAAAAGTTGAGGAAAGAGTACGCATACTTGGTGACGGTCTCTTTGTGGACCTGAAGGACGTGGATGACCATACCGCCGGCAGTAGAAAGCTTCTTATGACAGACATGGCACTTGAAGTGTTTGGCCTTCTGATGCTGCACCAATATCTTCTCATCGTCGAATTCTCTGTCGCAGTAGTAGCACCACACCTTTGAGGAAACCCTCTTCTTCTTCTTCCCCATAATCAGAACACTGTTTCTGCAATCCGGAAACGAGTTCTTCGCAAGTTGGCTTGTAAAAGAAATCAAACGAACAGAGATCACGAAGATTTAGGGTTTTGTTTCTGGCCTTTCCCTATCCGGAAACGGGGTTTTCTTTTCTCGTCTCCCGACTCGTTTACCCCTCAACCCGATCTGTGATTTTACTCGCTCCCTCCAATTTTCGCTTTTTCTCTTTTTTTCTTTTCCTTTCCTTCTCAATACTTGTTTATTTATAT